TTTTTGTTGTCACATAACTATTGTATTTTTTGTTAAACATTTAGTTACATATTTTTAGCTTAATGTCTAACTATGAAATGATGTAAAGTTAGACAAGTTAGTGTATTATACAAGTTAGTATGGTATAGTACTTGTATGTGTAAGAGTAGTATGGTAGTTGATAGAATAGTTGGTAGAAAATATCTTTGACTGTGTACATGTTTGGCTATATATATAGCCGAGATGTATGAAAAATGAAGAAGGAAATGTTCGATGAAATGATTAATGATATTATAGAATTTTTCATTCCTTCTCCTCTGTGAGTTCATAAAACCAGCAGAGTTTATGTTTTGCTTTGTTCAATATCCGGTTACTTCTATAACCGGCATATGAAAATAATTTTTTGTTCCTCCTTCACATCCTCTCGATTAATAAAAATGTGTTTGGATATCAGTTTTTTTTTTCAAAGAGCTTTTGTATCAAAAAATTCCAACACGGTATCAGAGCTTAATTGATCTTTGAAAAGGGACCAAGAGCTGTAAAAGGAAGAAGAACATGAGCTGAAGAAAAATAGAGAAAATCCTGTAAGTCTGCCAAATCCGGTAAGATGTGTAATCCGGTAGGCAAAGTGTAAATCCTGTAGGCATAGAATCTGAGCTTCAATGTTCTTAAGGGACCTGAAAAAGTAAAAGAAAAATACAGTTGATGTCGATTTTTTTGAAGATGCAAAATGATGCTGTGAATGGGTAAAATCCGATATGCTTGCAAGGTTTCAGAGTTGAAAAACTGATCTTTGAAGATCAGAGCTAAAAAACTGATCCTTAGCCATAAAAAAAATGGAAGAAAACAGCTAATGAAGGAACTGTAAATCTGAAAAGAAAAAGTAGTGAATCCGGTATGCATTGGAAAACATATTTAAATCAGGTAAACTTCACGCAAATCCGGTAAGCTCGCTGCAATACCGATATGTATTGAAAAACTGTCAAAATCGGTAAGTCTGTATTAAATCCAATAAGTTGTGTGCACTATCAGTAAGCTCAATGTAAATTCGGTAATTTCAAAAACCTGAGCAGCAGCTTCATCAAAACAACAAAAAATCAAAAGAAAAGATGCAAATGGAAAGTTTCTTTCTATGTGGTTGATCATAGGATAAAAGTGTTGACAACTATGATAGAGAGTTACAACCAGGAGAGCCGGATCAAATGAAAAACAATGGACCTCAAGTTTGTAGTCACGGAAACAAAAATAGCCTGAAATATGAATAAGAATTTTTAATGGTTACAACAAAATGTCAAGGAGGAGTGTTGGAGTTGTGACATTTTTGTTGTCACATAACTATTGTATTTTTGGTTAAACATTTAGTTACATATTTTTAGTTTAATGTCTAACTATGAAATGATGTAAAGTTAGACAAGTTATTGTATTATACAAGCTAGTATGGTGTAGTACTTGTATGT